GCGCTCGGCGATTGACTCATCAGGACTTCCCCACAAACAAGCAGCTGCTGGAGGAGAGTGGATGAGTTGTGTTTGGTCTAGGACACTATATGTACTGTTGATGAAGTTAGGTGCTGTTCTGAGCATTATTTGTGGCTATAGAGTGGCGTTTTGGTCTAGGTTTGCATGTGGAGTGATAGCACTAACCGCTGTGTATTGGTATCTTGCAGTCGTTACTAAAGTTAGTATAACTAGAGAAGCAAGCAGCTGGCAACATTTATCTCTCAAGGTGGTGTCTAACTCTGTGTTACAGTGTGTTTGACCATAACTTAATTTTACACTGGAATCTCCCTTTAAGTTATGTTGCTTTAGGTTTAGACTGCGGGGGTTCTGCCACACTGAGCACTTTCCCTCCTTCTCCATCCTCTCTCTGTCTGCGGCAATAACTTTAAATCATCAAGGCCTATAAGAGTCACCAATAGTCTTTTCTGAGTCCCTGAGCTCCATCATGCCATAGGTTTCTCTTGATCGCTGCTGCAGTATGGCTTTCTCATCTCTGTCCATCGCTCTCTTTCTGCACCCCCTTTCTAAACAAACCCAGTGCAGTAGCAGCAGATGAGTGGTCTCCTCAGTTCACAAACATTTGCTGTGTTGCTGAAAGACGAGGTTGTGTAACACAATGGTTAACATGTCACAGCTGTCATAATTTGCAGTATTTGAAATGTGTTCATTGCATTACATTTTACATAAGCTTAAAACAAAGCAATTTAAATAGTGCAGCATGTTGCCTTTGCACCATTCTTGATTAAACATGGGATTTAATAGTCAGCAAATACTCTAATCCTGTTTTTTTAAAAGTTGTTTCATCTCTTGTTTTTTTGGACTTGGGTTATATTTGTCATCTATGGCCATTCAAAATATTTTTTTTGGCATGTGCATCAAGCAATAGTCAATTAAAAAATTGTATAGATGTTTTCTTTGTTATATTAAAGCTTATGGTGTGGGAGCTTTTGTTACCATAGATTGACTCAATCTTCTGTGTACCCTGTGAGACCCTGTTATTTTAGTAGGGGAACACTTAATAAATCCCTGTCGCTGTTGAAGTTAAACATCCCTTCTTTTCGGTTTGGCTGCCTGTGGTTGACAAGTCGACAACATGGCAGCCTGACAACCAGGATGGAGATATCATAATACGTATCCACCCTGTTTATGGATGGGTGCAAAACTCAAGACAGGAGTTCAGTAATAAAACACACTGCACAGGTTCAATTAAAATAAGATGCTGTTTTTAAAAGGTAATTAAAAACTATAGCACATATTTAAACTTGCTGTTCAAGATCTGTGTTGGTTATCAATTAACTTTGTGCACGCAATTTTTAGAATAAAAATTTTGGATGCTGTTTGTTTTGTGAAGAGAATATGAAGAGCAAACAGTTCTCTGTGTTTGACGTCATTCAACACATAATTACAGATAAACAGCCGGCGCTTAGCTGCTGCAGCGTGTTCCTCTGCCTCTTACTGTACTGCAGCTCTATGAGAGGTGTGTGGACGTGATGTGTGTGTGTTCAGGCAGGAGAGGGCAGCAGACGTTCGAGCTGAGAGCAGACTGTTTGTTTCATGTCTCTCGTCTCCAAATCCGGGGAGGAGCTCATTAAATCTGGCTCTTCATCTCTGCCTGATGAATTCTTTATTAAAACAGTATGTTCACCCTCTGCCCCTACAAAGATATCATATAAAAGTTCAATTAACCAGGGCTTGATGATCTCAATGAGATGATCTTTTACAGCTAAAAGCTCCCCCTGCACAGCCGGCTGGAGCCTTTCCAGAGAGAAAGCGCTCACGGAAACACAGGGAAGAAACATCCACCAGTGAATAACAAAGGGAAGTCAGACACTGCACGGGGATTTAGATGTTCAAAGGCGCAGCTTACGCCTCTGGGCCATGCTGGGCCCTCTTGAGTCAGAGAATGAAATCTGTTGTTTAACAAGCTTTTATTGGAATCCACACTTCTACCAAAATGTTGAAGATCAGGGACAAACAGAAAGCCGCGGCGGTGGTACATGAGCCAGCGATGAGCAGTCAGTTAGGCCATATCAGACTATATGATTCCCATATTGGTATATAGACAATTACAGGAGTGTGTGTGTGTGTGTGTGTGTGTGTGTGTGTGTGTGTGTGTGTGTGTGTGCAGAGCAGGGATATGTTGAGCTTCAGGAGGTGGATATAAAAGAAAGCCAGTTGACTTTGGTTTCCTCTCTTCTTCCGGCCCTGGAGTTTTTTGCAGCCCTGCTTTTGTTTGTTTGAAACCCCCTTGAGAGCCTCAGAGACCTGGACACTGTATTATAAAGAAAGTCTTCTCTTCTCTGCCTAGCTGAAGATATGATGGGAAAAAAATGCCACACAGCACACTTCTACATCAAGAAATATCACCATGTGAGACAGAGGAAAACACCCCAGTTAGTTTTTAATGATGTACCTTTACTAATTTGGAGTTGAGGGATGAAAAATGCGACTTCTTGTTTTGCGTTTATGATAAAAATAATAATTTAAAAATTACATTTTAGAGACAAAAAATGACTGGTTGGGCTATTTTCAAACAAATATTGTGAAAAAGGTTAGTCCAAACTGAAAATCTGAGGCATGCTGCTGTTTTTATTGAGCAGAGGTATAGTTTATTCACACTGGGGGAGTCTTCCATGCTGGACTGGATGTGGTGGGCAGTAGGTGGATCGGTGGGTGAGTCTGTGGAGCCGGGATATGATGTCAACATTTTTGCTGTGTTATTGGCAAACAGCAGCAGAGGCTGATGTGATGCTAACAGGTTCATAGTTGGAGTAAATCAGCAGCTGTGCACTGTTCATGTCTTAAATGAATCCCTTTCCTGAACCTCTGCCACTCGACCATACGCAGGAATATTACCGAGATGCTGGCAGAAAAATCACATTGGTAAAATCGGGTCAAATAATTCAATTGCACGACAAAGTTGTCAATGTTGATCAGAAGCCTGATATTGTCCCTCTTGTAGCTTCTAGCGGCTCTGCACGATTTACAGTTCAACAAACTTTGAACGTTTTTCAGCCTCTGTCTCAGATGCTTCACTGTCCCTTTGAAGCTCCCCCAAAAACCCCAGAATTCAACATTCTGGGAGCCGCATCACTGTTTCCATTAAACAAAGTTGTGTTTATTTTAATCAAAGGACAAATTTGCCCTTTTAAGGAGATCCTCTGTCTGGTGATGTCACCATTTCAGCAAATCTCACATTGAATTCTCGTGTGACTTTTTAATAATGTCATTCACCCTGTAGTCCCATCCAGGGATTACTTCAACACACATTTACCTCGCAATCGGGAACTTTGAATTAAACTTCCTCCTGAATTGTTAAATAAAAATGATTTAGACACAAGAAAAACTGAAAAGTTGGCCAGAGCCAAGTGCTTTATATTAAAAACCAATGAAAATATTCTCCCTAAGCTCCAAAAATATGTATTATTTCTTATTTCTCTTTGTCTGTGTTCACAATCTGCTCTCTATAATTCAGAACTCATTTAGTCAAACAGCATAATTAAAAGGAAGAATAAGGAGCACTAAACAACAAGATGTTAAATCAATTAATTACTGAGCTAATAAAAATCAGAATACATGATTCCTATAGCAGGTGTTTTACATTAAGAGTAATTGCGTTTTAACTTCCCAGGGTCCATTTCAGTGGTCCACAAAAAAGGTGTTTAACTGTAATCTAGAGGAAGGATGTGCATGAATCACTGTGGGACACACTGAAGTGTAGAAAATATTACAACATTTTACAACAAGAAAAACATTGTAATGTTCCTGCTGCAATTCTTGTTTATTGTTGCTCCTGCTTGCTCCTGATTGGTGCATTAGAGTTGGATGATGACATGAGCATCCATGTGGAAAGCCCAGCGGGGACGACGACAAAAAGAAACACTACGAGAGTTATTACTGCAACATGGAGCTCATTTGAAACAACTGACATTATGATGTTTTTGAAACTAATACAGTCTTTTAAACTTCTTTTATATTCACATCGCTGAGTCCGGGGTGTTATTAATCCTAAGACTGAGTTCAACTAGGCTACATGATGTCCTTTCAAAATAGGAGCTATTTTATCTTGACTCTGCCACTTTAGAATAGATTTTAAATGTTGATGAACTTAAATTTTATTTTTGTTTTTTTTTCATGCAAACATAACATTTAAAATTTTTTAATAGATTGACATTGTATGGCTCCAAATTACACCTCATATGCTTTTAATTTACTTCAATGCATTGTAATATCAACACATGCGCTGTAATTAGTACGGTATTTTTCGCACTATAAGGCGCACTTGAAATGCTTTTGGCTTGTTGGAGCACTGCAGCTGCAGGAGTTATTGAATGAGTTAACTAAAGTTTGACTTATCTGACTGTTTTGTTTGGCTTAATGGGCTTTATAATCCAGTGCGCTTTATAATCTGGTGCGCCTTATGTATGAAAATAGACGCGTTCATTGATGGTGCGCCTTATAATCAGGTGCGCCTTATAGTGCGTAAAATACGGTAATGTCATAGATATGTGACTGCAAATGGTCAACAGAGAAAACATGGGCCATTGCAATAAACTGATATTGAAGGTCTTTTGAGGAAATGAAAGTTCTGATATGTTGATATATTTCTGAAAACAAGCATATGTATAATATGTGAGGTTCTTCGTTGTGATTCTTTACACTGGTTGCCACACATCCTTCAAAGGAGTACAGATGAAGAAGCAGCAGCAGACTGTAAGTGAGCTTGCTGTAGCATTTCCCTTAGAAATGATTAAACACTTTACAAACAGACATTTCAAGATGTATTTTTTATTTATTCAAGAAAATTTGCACTTTCTTACTGTTCTTTCAACTGTTCTCATTCAGTTCCATAACTTACTATTTACCAAAGGTGGTATACAGGAAATCAAGCGACCAAAAGCTGAGATAGAAAAAATATCTATCTGTCTGAATAAAAGCATGACAAACAATCATTTGATCAGACAGTAAGTTTCACAGGGCTGATGATGTGGATGATGACATGTCAGGGTAATTGTGGCTTTATGAAGTGATGGGTTGCTCCACCCTTGTCTTACCTTTCCTCAGTCTGACAGCTTGTGTTGTCATATTTGTAAGTTTTACATAACTATCACAAAATATTGTTGTAACAATATTTTATGGCAGCGATAATCAGGGCGAGAAAATCTGATATCAGTAATTCCCAAGGGGAAAAAACAGACCTCAGAATGCTGTATATATGATATGATGTGAGCAGCAACCTCCAGGCTTGAGGAATAAAGCTTAAGTGGACCTGCTAAAAGGTGCAGTTTCTCAAGCGTCCACATGGGGCTAACGGCAGAAGAACCAGAAACCACATTTGGAAAATTCAAAGTAAATATGTCAAAAGCTTGGCCATTAAAAAATCAAATTAAGATCATGAACTTGGTGAATTAGAGCCACAGCTGCTCTGACTGACAAGTGCACTCATTGTAGATGTTAGTGAGGAGGCTGAAGGCCTGCCTCTTCTTCTCATGGTAGGTTGACCATGGATTAAGTTGAGTCAGCGTTTCCAGCATGGTGTCTCCACTTATAGGCTTCAAAATTCCAGCGCAGAAACTGGTAGGTGACGTCACATTATACACAGTCTGGTTTGAAGCATCTGTGTAATAAACAGAGTTAAGACAAAAGCAGACAAAATTCAGTACTCGGCCAATCAAAATCCAGCCCTCAACAAAGCTGTGTAATATTATCTGATAAATGCCAAGAGTTTTGTATGATAATCAAGCCGTTGTTCCATATTTTGTCTCCTTCATGTGTATGTATGATCCTCTGTTCTGGTCTCTTGTGGTCTCGCCTGTCTTCTATCCTCCCTCGGGGCATGAATAAAATATTCTCAGTTGACTTGAATCGCTCCATCCGAGCCTATTGTTGAGTCTCCCCCATGGAACAAATCTCCTCCTAGTTAACCTCACAATGACTCCCACACTCCCCACAAACCTTCATCTGTGTTTCTGTGTCACCTGCATTCAGCTGGAAAAACAAACCAGTGAATCCACCCCCACCCCCTCCTCCTCCTCTCTCCTCCTCCTCCTCCTCCTCCCCTCCATTCTCCCTTTCTCTCTCTGTCGTCGTTGGTTTGTGGCTCCTCAGCCTCCACTGGGCTCCTGGTGGTGGAGGTGCTGAGGGAGCAGCGAGAACATTGTTTGAACTACAGTAAAACACAGCTCCCTTCAGCTCCCACTTCAAAGGCAGAGGATTACCAACAGCCTGCTGTAATGAGACCGCCATGACTTGAAATCGCTGGGATGGCTGGGTGCGCTTTCTCCCCCCCACAAAACCACAACATCGTTACTGCGGTGGAACACCCTGAGAAAGACAACAGTAATCTAGTAATGTGGGTTTCTGCGGGTGTAAACTCATCTGTATGTGTGAGGGTGAAAAAGCTGAGATTGAATAAATATCTGTCTCTATAATGAAGTAATCAGTATTCCTGCAGAGGAAGAACCACCATGCAAATGTTGTTTACGCCAAAAGTCCTTCGGCAGCTTTGGACAGTCTGTCCCAGCCAATAAACATCCTCACCTGTCCACATTCGTTTGTCTATTTGAACACAAAGACTGTTTTTATGTTTTTATCATCAGTCCAGGCTCTCTTTTGAAGGTCAGGAGGATTTTTTTCATCCAAGGTTACACTTTTGGCACTCTGCCTTTGTTTTTGACAGCAATTTGAGGATGAAATGCTCTGTGAAAGACAGTGATGAAAGACACGAGAAAGATTTTGCATGCGACAACAGCACGCCGATTTTCTTTTAGAGGAGTGAAGTCAGGGTACAACATTTGCATTTGTGGAAAATTTTTGAAAACAACATTTTGGTACAAACGTTCGTCACCAGGCTATTTTAAAAACACTGGGAGTTTATCGTGTTATATAGGTTGGATGACCCACGTGGACCAATCGCTGCAGACTGTCGCCACCAGCGTCACCCACTGAATAGAAACCCTTCAAAACATGTTCATGGCATCACAGGCCCGAGATATAAATAGAAAGGAATTATGGTGTGTGTGAAAAACACAGCAGTAATGAGGCTGATCTGCCATTAACAAAAACTCAGTTCACAGCAGAGTGTATATGTACATAGATATATATGTATATAGAGTGAATATTGAAACAAATTTGATTGATCAGATATCTGAGAGAAAAAGGGATCACCACTTCAGTCTTTTTTACTCTATTTGATCTTTTTGTGAAAAAAAAAAGACCAAAACTAGACAGAAATAATCACCATCAAACAAAGACAGGCTTTTAAAACAACCCACCAAACACTGAAATTAAAGCATCTGAAAATTCCTGTCACAAAATAAGAGCAAATCTACGTCAGTACTCACAAAAATATAAAACTGGGAGAGAAGACATTTAACAAACAAACACAACTTTTAAAAACATGAAAAATACCTCATTTTTATACTGTTTACTATACTGTACTATACTATACTACTCAAAGAGAAGAATGAAACAGGCGTCTTTTAAGATCTTTAAATAACTAATAAAAAGATTGACTGTAATGAATCTGAAGATCTGCTCTGGATAACTGGACCTCTGTGCTTGATTGAAACGTGGCTTATTCTGCAGAGTTAACGGTGTAAAGATCATCAGAGATGGAGGATTAACAGTGAAACTGAGACTTAGATACAAAAAGTCTCTTCAAAGAAATGATTAAACTGATAGTGGTAGCTGTAGATAGACTAACCAGTAGTGGACTTGTTATCTGTGTACAAACACAGCTGCAGCAAAATGACAGAGAACAGAGATTTCATCACAGTTTTTATTTTCAGTTAATTCATCATTTCACACCATTGTCTCTGTTCATCATGAAAACCAAGCACATCAACCAACACTCACTCTCATCATTTTTGTCATCTAAATTAACACTGATACACATTTTAGAGTGAAGACTTGTTGATATGTTACACCTTTGTGTGCCAATCATGTAGAGAGTACAGGCCATAGAACATAGGTAAATCAGTGAATGACCATCTCCATTTATACAACTCTATCTTAGTGACCTATCCTCCAGGCAGGGATCCACCGGGGATTTTGGGCCTCCTAAAAAACAGTAAATTGGCTCTGACAATTCAGCGATCATCCTTTTGACAATTCTGTAAGTTATGAGGCCTCGGAGTCATCGTAACTCTTTTCCCTACAGTGTCTTTGCAACCAGGACACGATCGATGGCTGATTATCAAAGTTATGAAAATGTAGTTGATTTTTTTTTTCAATATCAACTTAAAACACCTCCTTATAAATTGTTTTCTAACAAAAAATCACCCCAGGAATACAAAAACATAAAGAAAAAAAAAACACCAGACCTTATGAGTAGTATCCTAACATATAGGGGTTTAGTACAAATGATGTAAATATTTTGTAATGTTTGTATCTACTTACTGCTCCTGTCACATATTTGTTTCCCTCATAAACGTCTGAGATAGAGAGGTGTTTCTTTGTTGGTTGAAATAAACTCTGGAGACCAACTGAGAAATTATCAGCAACATAACTGAACACATAGTCAGGTCACAGATTCAGTAATGACAAAGACTGCTTCTTAAAAGAACTTCTTAAATAATCAAACGCGAGTAAAAATCTCCACCATACAACTAAATACATGTTCAGGAATACATTCAGCTGCTGCAGTCCCTCTTTGCTTCCTTTCAGACAAATGACAACCTGAAATACATCTCTGAATGTCAAACCTAAATGTACCTTGTTGTGGAAATGCATCCAGAACTCTGAACATCTTATATGTCCATGTATAGCAAATATGAAACATGATAAAAGATAAGAAAGAAAATGAAATCTGGAAAGTTAAATATGAAATAGCTAAAAGCCATACTTACATTCCAGGACACAGACATCATCTAGTGGTTGATGGATTCTTATTTGCCTTGTTTTCTTCTTGTTTTCGTGATATTGATCCCCTAAAAAGACCTCCAGTTGAATCCAGGAAATGTCCCTGCCCTCACCTCCTTTGAGTCAAATCCATAAGAAGAGAAAGAAAGCTGGAAAATTTGTGTCTTGCGTCTTAACCTTGATAAGAAAAAAATAGGCATATATGGGATAAGAGATAAGTCAATGTATGACAAATGCGTGCTTGTGGAGGCAAATCTGAACGATAATTAGACAAAGTTGGTTCTGAAATGATAGTATCACGCTGACAAAAAAGGTCATTATTCAGCTCAGAGTCTGTGAGGTGACGATCCAAAACACCACAAGACCTTAAACTAGATATTAAAGATTTTGACCTGTGTTTCATTCTTGCTCATTCATTTTTCATGGTTTTATATATTCTGAATTATATAATGCCAGATAAGTGTTCACACTCTGATTTTGTCTTTGCTTATGTAAATTATAACATACCACCACTATATTGTCTCGGATTTTAGTTTTCCGTTCACTGCACCGCCGGTTTCCAGCATCTCTCCGCTTGTCTGTCGCCCTGTTAGAAAGATCCCTCCTCTTCTGCTTTCTCTCTTTTTTCCCTCCATCTCAGGCTGTTTTTTTCCCTCTCCGTATCTGAATCAGTGGGCATGTTCTGAACAGATTGCAAAACCTCTGATGGCAAATTTGTGATTTTGGGCAATTTATAACGCCGAAAAATTGATGTCACTTGACTTTCTTGTGACCCCAAAGTGGCATCAGCTCGCAACTCCTCGTCACAGATTGCACGACTCTGATTTGTGAGTCGCTGAATTGAAGAGAGATATGTTTTCTTTCTTGTGCTGGACGGTTTCATTTCAACATTTTTTATTCTTTTGAGGTCTGAGGATTAAAAAAAAAACAGCAAAATTTTATGAGAAGGGGCAAAGAATGAAACCTTATCTCATGTCGCAGCATTTGTTTCTTTTATTTCCTCTGTTTTTATCCATCTCGGGGGGTCTTGACTCTTGGATTGAGGACCACCAACACACAAACTGTTAACTAACAGCATAAACATCCTAGTTATGAGCTAAATAACCATTATATTACGATCAGAAACAAACGTTCTCAGTCACATTAGAGGAAAAAAGAAAAGCTTTTATTTGATTATAATGTGAGAAATATTGTGTGTGGTTAAAAATGAAATACATTTCAATTATTTAACTGAATTAATTTCCAAAAATTAAAGAATCTCAGAGAGGAAATGTCACATTTGTGTCAATTATTCTCATTTGCTGAATATTTCCTTTGATTTGTTGTGTTTTGTATATTTTCAGAGACAGTAATCACGGTTTCATCATCTAAGAGGCGTTCATGGTCAAAGTAATGGGTTAATTAATTCATGTTTATTTATACTGCTGTTGCAATTTGCATTTGAATGCAGCAACACGGAGACATTAATTAAAATTTCAGAATCACAGCAAACAAACAGAGAAATGTACAGTGTGTTTGACACTGTATTTGGTCTCATGAAGCGCACAGATAGAGGAGCTGATAAAATCACAATGAGCAGTGATGAAAGCAGATGTGTGTGTGTAAGTGTGTGTCAGTGAGTGTGAGTGTGTAAGTGAGTGAGTGAGTGTGTCGGGGGGATTGAATTAAATTGTCTACATTTGCTATTCTTCCTCATTCCCTGTGCAGCAGAATTATCATCCTCATCTCAGGGTCTAACATGTTAATTTAACTTCATGTTAAAAGCAAATTAATTAATTTGTGGAGTCTGTGTGTGAGTGTGTGTATGAATGTGCGTGCCTCTGCTGTATCGTTGCATGAACTCTGTAATTGCGGCTGCTTCTTGACGCTCCCCGGTGCCTGGCTTTGTACGGCACAGATGAGAGCAGAGAGTGACACCCTCCCTCACATGTTCTCCTCAGGGAACACTTATCAAAACAATGCGCAGACCGTCATTCAAACACAGCCCTGCATACTTGAACACTTTGAAGTCTCCCATCCTCTTGTTTTTTTAATCCCCCTCGCCTTTTCTCCCAATGTAATCCCACTGTAACTGCAGGGATTCTGCACAATTCGCACCATTTGTTCCTCCAAATACAACACTTCATCAACAAATAACAATATGTTGGGAGCAACTATTGAGAAGGAGGCTGAATTTAAACGGGTTCAAGCGCTGGCACTGCCATGCATCCCTGCCTCAGTGCTGCCAATCCCTGTAAAAAGTTAATGTAAGCAGGATTCTCAGGGAGCTGCTGGTGATGAAATTATGGTGTAACTGATACCAATGTGCCATGCTAAGACGAGTGCATGGCCGTCTGTGTCTTTGAAGGAGGCTCTTCCCATCCCACGATGCACTGCTGGAGAGGGGCTCCTGTATGGTTTGTACAGTACAAACGGACAGATGGAGGGCAATACTGCACAAAAAGCAGGCAATCGTTTTGCCGCAGTACAGAAAACGGGCTGCGAGTTCAGGAATTCATTGTGAATTCACTATTGCACACAAAACTGAAATCTGTCAGGCCCAATGTAAATACACATACACTCAGTTAACTGTATAGGTATAGTAAAAGAACTTTTCTGTGCAGAGACCCCTAAAAATTATATTATTTAACTCTGAGTCTGAACGTTCAGTGTGGAGTCAAAAAAAGCAAACAGAATTAAAATTTGGTGTTCTCAAACTTAAATATTATGATATTTCTGATTTTAATTCATGTTTTTCCTTTTCTTTTGCAATGATTATTATGAATCTGAAATTTCTGATAAAATATTTTTTCTGGTGTAATGGACAGAAAACACAAAATTAGAAAAAAAAAAGAAGTTAAAAAAATGATGGAGGAAAAAGGAGTCAATCTTGAACATGTTTGTCTTGTATATCAGGGATTATGCTGCCCTCTAACTCATGTCCTGGTTCTCTCTTTATTGTTTGTGTTTTTCTTCAATAAATCTCATGCGTATGCAAAAAAACCCCACATATTTCAGAAAGGTGTTATTTGGACAGCAAGAAGATTTTTCTCAAGTGCAAAAACAGATTTAATGTTGAATTCTTGCAGGGGCATTGCACTATCTCCATAACTTCTCCTGATCCCTGCGACCTGGTATGATTACAAATTCATGCGTGACTAAAGAGGTGCATCATGCATAATAAAAAAATGCATCGTCTGCAAAACCAGCGAGACGAACACTGTAAACAATGGGGGCGTAGGGGAGCTCAGAGGGGGAGGCCGTAAAACCCAGGGCTACAGGGATGCCAAAAACATGTTTTTAAAGGAAGGGTGAGCCGGTGTTGCCTATTACTATAGCAACAGGAAGACCTGGCTGCTTCAATCAGCCTTTTTAGTTTGAGAGGGGGGCCGAGGATAGGCAGAGCAGCTCCTGCTGGGGAGCCGTGCAGAGCCGCCCTGGTTTTACTAATGAGGGCAGCGGGACATGCTGGGTGTCAGCCAGCCTGTCCACCTCCACAGATCCCACCTGTCAGTGTCACGATCCCTTTCATTAAATCCACGCTGCAAGGAGGTCAGGAGGAGCAGGACACGCAAACAGAGTGACAGCCTGAGGAGACAGACGCCAGATTTGTGAATGCAAACATTTATTTAAGCCGCCTCTGACACCATTGAGGTTTCCTTCATTTAAGATTATGTCAACTATCAGGGAAATACTGAATTTAAACACATGGGACAATTGTAACCGGAGAAAAAAATTGTCCTAGGTTAATTAACAATCGACACCAGAAATAAACATTTATTGTAAAGAATATCTGACAATTGGAAGACAAAAAAATCATGATTGATTTGACAGTTTTTGACGAGCAAATAACAGAATTAGCTGCAAGATTTCTGTCCTGTGATCAACCAGTTTAAATTTAAAGGGAGTTTAAGGATTTTTTATATCAGAGGAAACCGAAGTGTGCTAAAAAAAACAACTAACCCCAGAACACAAGGGCGGATATCATTAGAGTCTCTGTTGGTGTGATTGCCTGGTTTAGAGCTTTGATATGAGGGCAGCAGCATGTCTTCAGATTATATCACCATAAATTAGAGCATCTGAATAAACAGACGGTCTGCTCAGAATCAGAATCTGCTTTAATCAGTATTTATGAGTGTAAGAAATTTGACTCTGTCAGACTGCACACACAGAAACAGATGTGTATGCAGTTAAAGGTGTAGTTTGTGGTGTTTAGCAAGATTTATCTAAAAAAAAAACTTGGTCGAAATGGAATAAAATATTCTTTATCGGTTAAAATGAGATAATAATCAGCTTAATTAAAAAATTGTTAGTTTCATTTTGTTATGACGAGCCTTATGTATTCACAGAGGGGGTCCACTTCCACAGAGGCAGCCATCTTGCCCACCACAGGAGAAAAGTACTGTGCAAATTTGATATTATAGATTTCACAACCTACAAAGTTTAAACCAAAGGCGTTTGATTTTACAATTTTGTTTTTCATAGTCATGAAAATCAGGAATCAAACTGTACTTGTTTGAGTTCTGAACTCTGGCACCATAAAACTGGATTCTGAGCACAGTTAACTATTAATACACAGTGCATAAATAATAACAAAGAGAGAACTAATTAAACGCCTGTCTAAACAGATTTGTCTTTTATTTTTTAATTTATTATTCAAGTTTTATTTTGGGGCATTTTTTTGCCTTTAATGATGGGACAGTGGAGAGAGACAGGAATCATGGGAAAGAGAGAGAGAGGATGACATGCATCAAATGGTTGGTGCCTGGACTCAGGAACCACGACCGCTGCGGGGACCATAGTCTCCATACGCGGGTCGCACTAACCTGCTTGTATTTAAAGTTAATTGTCTGCAGAGTGCGGGGACATTGATAGAGCAATACAGAGTTTTGGTTCTTTATCTTGGAAAGATCTTTTACCATGAGTGCCTTGGTGTAAAGCAGGTAATAGATGTAACCTAATGAATGTGGTTGAGGAGTGGATCTGCTCGAATAGTTTAGACAAAAACTCTGAGTCCTGGCCATGAAAGCTGAGTTTAACCCACACCACCACAGCCGAAATGTTTCAAAAAGACATCTATAAGTCTCCATATGAGACTTTCTCATTCACAGTGCTGCCTCTGATGTTCAGTAGGACCAAGGTGGTTTCATTTTCAGTCATCAAATTGGATACATCTAAAGACACTTAAGGACAGTTTATAGAGGACTGACTCATGTAGCCTCAAGTATTTCCTTCCCAACATCTAGGTCTCTGCTCTGCTCTGTGCAGACATTCAGAATATAAATGAAAATATCCAGTTTAAATATAAATTGATATTCATGTTTTACTCTGACGCTGCTATAAATCTCATCTAAAGTCTTATCTGTGTGAAGGTTTATAGACATCCAGACAAAAGTGAAATGATTAAGAGTCATATTCCAGTGAAAGTTGTGAGACAGGTTTGACTAAGTTTTTATAATTATTTAGGGTGACTTAGCAAGTGCATGTTCTTAAAGCTCCTGTGGGAAGCTTTTGCTCAGTGTCCATTTTGGTGTCCCTTGTGGACAATACTGTTTTTGCTTATCTTGTCCTCTACATGCTAAATTAAAATTTAGCATGTCATCCTGCTCACTTTTCATTGTCTAATGCTTTTTTTTCTGTAATTTTGATATGAAAAATATAAAAACAAAGTTTTTTCTTCACTAGCTGCACAAACAACTTCCCTCTCCTATGAGT